CAAAAATTTCTAATTACATCAATACTATAAATGGTATTTCTAGGTTTTAAAATCTGGAGAAGTAAATGTGAGGGGAGTAGTTATATGTCTCTTTTTATTATAAACCCTTATCTACTATATTGTTAACCAGATTATTTATTAACATCATAAAAGTAAAAAAAAAAAATAAACAGCTAAAGGAAGGAAAGGAACAAAATGGCTAGACAAAGAGGCAGAAAATGTGACATCTTACTGAAGCAGATTTTTAATTCCTTAATTAAAAAACACTTACCCAATGGAAAAAGGCACAAAATGATGGAAAAATAAACTATTGTGTTATTTTTAAGTAAAAAAAATCTTTAAATAAAACAAAACAAAAAAAAATACTTACCCATTATTTTCTGTGGTAGTTTTATTCCTTTTCTCTTTTACCATCTCACCATTTTTCTTTTCTTTCTCTGTAATTTCTCCCTGATACACCTGGTCTCCTATAAGCCTGAAACACGAATAACAGCTATGTTAGCAGTTTACAGTTTCAAGATAATTCAAAGATGGATTTCATAGCTATGACAACCCTAGAAAACATATCTTCTTGGAGATATAAGAGGAATTTGTTCCAGACCAGGAGCCTTCAATTTCTCATTTCATCTAGGGTAATTTTTCAACAGGTCTCAATAGAAATATTCAAACTATGGGGCCTCTGATTCTCCAAGAGAGAATCAGAAGACACACTCAGATAAATCTTCATAAAGATTCATCAAGTCAGTCTTGTCCATACCTACTGTAAAACCATACAGCTGTTTGGCATATATCTACTTCTTATTAGTTCAGACCAAAGAATCATAGCCCATCGATCATATCGTTATAACACTTGCTACTCTCTGAAGTTATCTTGTTCATTGGTTTAGCCACTTATTTATTGTTTCTCCCACAGTAATTTCTGGAGCAGAGCAACACTGCCTTACTCCTAGACATATATCAAACACTTTCTAGAGTGCCTGACCCAGCACAGGCACTAGTGTGTTGGAGAGAAGAGAAAGAGGAAAAGAAGAAAAGGGGAGAAGGACTGATTGAAAGAAGACAGTGGAAAGAAGGAGCAAAAAGAGGGAGGGAGGGTGGGAGGAAGAAATGAGGGAGAAAAAAAGGAAGGCAGAGAGTCAACCTTCTTACGCCACTGCTGGGTTATAAATTCTCACCTCATCCCAGGCTCACCCTGGCCATCCCACACATAAATCTTCATCCAGAATCTATGCCCATATAAGTGTGCCACCTACATGGTGAAGTTGGTGATGAAAGCTCCAGCTGGAATCTGCATCTGAAACTCAGTCTCCTGGTCCTCAGATGCTCTGTTTAGCATTCTGCAGGAAACTGAAGTGAAGGCATAGCGAGAAATAATGGTAGACTTCACCGAGAACTCTGTCATCAAGGGCTTCGTTTTCTGTTGGAATTAAAGCACACAGCATTCTCAGTGGTGCAGGAGAGCATGAATCAACCATTTTAAGGTGTTGTGAGTTTTTCTTTCCATAAAATAGTTTTCTATTTGGGAGCCTTGGACATGTGGTTCCTTTCCACTTTGTTTGTCTCATTGATTTTTTGCCCATCACCAAACAACCATGGCTGAACAACCGGTTCCTGACATAAAGCAGATCTTCAAATCTAACTTTACCAAATGAAGAAAGGTAATATTTCCAATTTATCAAAAAAATATGCATTGTGATTATCATCACAATCCTGAACTCAAGGTATTTCAGGAAAGGGGACCCAGAAAAAAGAATGTTTATGTATTTATTTTTTGAGTAATATAATAGTTTATTTTTTATATCATTTTGTGCCCCTTTCCACTCAGCTATAACCCCTGTGGGCTTCCCATCACCAAATCACCTGTGTATCTTTATGTATTTTAAAGTAATCCCCAAAACCTCTAATAAGAGCAGTAATAGATGGTGAAAATTTAAAAGCTGATTAAAAGTACTCATTGGTTTTTTTTTTCCCTTGGACTTCAAAACAGCACTATATCTGATGACAGCTGGTAGCAGAAACTGAAGAAAGAAATTAGTAAGGAAAGCCACCACTAACAGACTGATTCTCTAATTCCAGGAAATATTTAAGATTAACATGCTACAGACATTTTATGGACAGAATGTTTGTACCTCCCCCTTTTAAATTCATGTGTTGAAGCCCTAACTGTCAGTGTGATGGCATCTGGAAGTCATATCTTTGAGAGATATTTAGAGTTAGATGAGGTCATGAGGGTGGTAGAAATAGTGCCCTTATAAGAGAAAACACCACAGAACTTGCTCTCCACTGAGAAAAGGCCACGCAATCAAGAAGGTGGCTGTTGAAAGCCAGTAGTAGAAAACTCACCAGAAAAATTAACTAGCCAGATCTTAAACTTGGACTCCCCAGCCTTCAAAATAGTGAGAAATTAAATATCTGATGTGTAAGCGCCCCCCCATTATGATATTTTGTTATGACAACCCCAAATGAGATAAGGTATTATCCCATTATTTCTTGGACAGACATATGAAGTAGGTGTTTCATTCCCGTCACATAGGTGAGAGAAAGCCAAGCTTAGCAAAGATATATATTGGTCCAAGCCAGCATTAGTGGAGATAAACATAATAAATTCACTTCCACTTGCTCCAAAGTTGACACTCACCACCATTATTTGTGGCTATCATGCAGCCCTTTTTGGATAAGCCTGTCTCATCTTTGCATACTCAAATCCCATCTTTAGTATGTATCTGGCTTGAAATAAATGCTGAATGGAACCAATTCTTTTGGTAGGATTCTGCTCTTCCCTACTGGGATTGTCTTACCTAATCAATGTTTATTTCACCCTTCATAACCTGTTTTTTTAATTCTTTATAGCAGTGAGCTAGCATTCAAAATAGGTACATGGCAAAGACTTAATGACGTCAAAGCACACTGCCCTTGTGATACAAAAGAGATCTTTTTTTATTTCTGCTTTAAATTTCATTTATTTTTTTAAATTTATTTTTACATTGTCTTCATTTTGTGCCTTTTTCATCTCAATTGTAGTCCCCATGGACTTCCCACCACCAATTCACCTGTGTGCCATCACCATAGTACTGAGCACCTGTCCACCCCATTTTTTTTAAAGATATATTTATTTATGCATACAGAGATGGGGTACAGGCCAGAGGGGCAGGGCAGTGAGAGGATTCACCAGAGACAGAGTCCCACCCCATTTTTTATCCCATTCCCCACATCACCCCTGTAAAATATCTCTGGTATATAGTTGTTCATTGTTTTTCATTTTTTCTTTATTACAATTGCTTTTCTTTTTTGTCCCCTGGTCACTTATGCTCTTGCTATGAGTGAAACCATCTGGTATATTTCTTTTTCTTTCTGGCTTATTTCACTAAGCGTGATCCCTTTCAGCTCCACCCATGTTGCAGTAAAAGGTATGAGTTTACCTTTTTTGATTGCCGAGTAATATTAATATTCCTCTGTGTGTGTGTGTGTGTGTGTGTGTGTGTTTAATCCAGTCATCTACTTTTGGTATTTGGGTTATTCCATGTCCTAAGGAGATCTTAAACCTACAAGAGAATGAGCTGCAAGCAGCATGAGACAAACACATGAGTGAGGCCAGAGAGTGGCTGCATGCTAGATAGAGTTCTAAGTGTGGAGTTGTGAGTCCAGTCTGACTCAAAAGGAAGAAAACAAGTGGGAACAATTTTAGGAAAACAGTTAAGGGAATGTGTCTGAGAAAATTGGAAAGTAATAAGCATGAAGAGTTCAGTGAGGTGATGATCAAGGACAAAGATATCTGAACATAGTAGAGAAATTTTCACCTACAAGAAGAAAAGAAGTTCTCCAATTTCATGTGAGAAGGAATTATTTCAAAGCAGTGACTCTGAAATTGTGATTCACAGGCCAGGAGTAGCTGTAGCATCTTGATTCTCTGTGTTAGCAAAGCAGAATCTCCAACTCCATCCCAAACTAACAATGTAAGTAATGCATGTTTTAACAAGCCCTCCGAGGGATTCTGATACTTGAGAAATATTATTTTTAAATAATATGACAATTGAGCCTCTTCACATGTTTCTTTATCTATCTACTAAGGTTTGAGTAAATCACTAAAAGTAGATCCATGTCTGAGGTCTAAGTTTTTAAGTCAAAGCCAGAAGTAAGGAATGAAATCTTGAGCATCAGGAAATTATTCTTGGATTCAGAAATAATCTTTATGAAAATCTAGTCTTCTTAGGACAAAATCTGTCTCTCTCCCCAGAAGTAATTTGGATTAAAAAAGGGATTCCAGATGGGGCTTAACCAAATGCTTCTGTTAAATGATCTCATTGAAAATATTTAACAAGTTTCAATTAAGACAATGAGGACTAGGCTGGGGGTAGTAATGATAATGATCTTAACAGCACAACAACCTACTGGGTTTGTGTTTTTAATTAAAATGCATATCTTATCTGTGTCAAAAAAAAGGAACCTTAAAGGGAATAAAACCATGAATTGTAATTAAATATTCTGCTTTGATTTCAGTTACTTCTGAAAATAGATTTTCTTTCTAAATGATTCTCTTAAACATCTTCTAACTCCAAATCTGAGCTGATGCAGACCAAATGGCCCAGGGTTGTATTTATGTGGCTTTATGAAAGTTCTAAAATATCACCATATACAATTCTAATATTTACAGATTCACTGAGAACTAAATAAGAATCAATACTAAATAAAAAGAAAGAAAAGCAAAGTCCCAGAACTCAGAAAATTCTAGTTATCACTCTGTTCTATTGCATTTAAATTTTAAACTAGTTTTTAAAAAAAAAAAATATTAGGTAACATGCACACATGGTAAAAGCTTCCAATTACAAAATGTAAAATGGAAAGATTCTCCCTCCCACGGCAGACACAATCTCCATTCTCCAGAGAGACTACTTAACAGCTTTGGTTATAAACATCCAAAACTCATACTGTATTAATTTGCCTTAATTTCACCCATTGACTCAGTGTGTCCAACCTTTTTCTGTATGTGTTCCAGTTATCTAATACTGAATAACAATTCACTCTAAATTCTCTTGCTCCTGGTAACAAAGGTGGGCAGGAATAATCCCAGTGAGAGATTCTTGAGTCTGCCAACCCCACCTCTTTCCTGAAAGTCTTCCTGAGGTAGCCTGGGATTTCCGCAGGAGTCACTATAAAAAGCCAGTAAAATGTAGAAAATATAGAACCCCAAAAATATACTAAATGTAATTCAATCTTGGTTGCTGATTCAAAAGCTCCCTGTGGAAAGGTATATGGAGCAAACCACAGGCACTCAGATTTGAAGATATAGAAACATGGATCATTTAGGAAGAAAATCTATTTTCATAAATAACAAAAATCAAAGCAAAATATTTAATGACAATTCATGGATTTATTTGCCTCAGGGTTACATTTTTGACACAAGATAACATACACATTTTAATTAAAAACACAGGTGCAAACATTCAAGACATAAGACAAGAAGCTAAATCCATTCCCCACTGCTCTCACATCCTGTAATTTCCTTAATTTCATCTTATCAACTATCACTTAACCTTTTTACATAAGAGTCTACTGAACCAACAGGAAAAAAAACTTTAGTTTACATCTTAGATAAACAAAGTGAATAGATCGAGTTGAATAGCATCCCAAGTAAGATTTAGCTTCTTCAGAGGAGGGTTGTTGCCCAATACTATTTCTAAAATAATTAAAAATTTTCTTTACTGGGTACACTTGAGACTATTTTTTAAGTCATGTTGATCTATTTTAAGAGATAATTATCAACTAAAATTGCATTCAACTTAAATGAGAAAACTAGAGGGCATCTGACAAAATATTAACTTACTTTGGTATAGTCTTTTGACGAATTAAGTTTATGAAAGTTCTAGAATTTTCCACAATATTACATGAAGCATATTTACAGGCTCAAGAGACAAGCTGAGAAAAGTTCCAAGAAACTATTTTAGTTTTACTGCTTCTGCCCAGTGACTCCGTTCCCATGGGCGCCTCTGCTGTTACTCACACTTCAGAGTCCTTGCATTCTGGTATTCTCAGTCCACAACTGATTTAAGCCACTGTGGGTTAATCCCACTCCCCACAAGCTACCCAGCTTATCCTTGCCCTTCCTGGGTTGTAAATCCATTGAGAGCAAGGATCAGACTTATTCCTACTATTTTTTTATTTTAAAGATTTACTTATTTGTGCATACAGAACTGGGGTACAGGCCAGAGGCTCAGGGGCGGTGAGAGGCTTCACCAGAGACAGAGTGGGGAACAGAACAGGCAGATCGATGAAGTACACTGCTGAGGGGAGCAGCGGGCAGGTCAGGAGAGGTCTGCCACACCATGTGGTCACCTCCAGGGCAGGCGGGAATTGAACTCATGTGGAAGTGGCTTTAGATTCTCAGTGCTGTGCTTTAACTGCTGCGCCACCAGGGAGGGC